GCTGAGGGCTCTGCCCCAGGAGCGCACCCACCGGAAGGGGGCCGGGTCCACAGTCCGCGACATCCCCTCCCCACCCAGGAGGCAAGCCCAATGCCACCTGGCCCCCGTGTGGAAGGGCCTGCTTCTGCCCACCCAAGGGGGCGCCCCGATACCCACAAGGCTGGGGAGGCCCCTTGGGGACAGGCAGGGGAGGTGACCCGTGGCCCTGAGTTACCTTTGCCCCGAGCCTCTGCATCACTGTGGCCGGCCTCAGCGACCAGGGTCAGGAGACAGTTGTGTGCGCCACCATGGGCCTGTGAACACATGCGGGTGTGCACACACTCCCAACCCTCCGACCACCTGCAGCACAAGCCTAGGCAGAGGGTGGGCCACATCTTGGAGCCTTGGGGCCACGGACTGTCCTCTGGGGTCCAGGCAGGGCAGGGGAAGACCCCGGGGGCTCCAGGGGCAACACTCCCACCCCTTTTGGCCAGAGTGACACCCCTTCCCCCTGGGTGACCAGGAGCTACTCCCCCGGCACGGTGACCATTGAGCTAGAGGTGTCCCAGGTCCCCCCGCCCATGAATCTGTCCCTTGGATCAGTGCTTCCCACGTGTGGCCCACCAGCGAGCGCTCACTGTCGGCCCGGCGTGGGGCAGGGAGGCTGGCGCTGGAATTCAGGGGACGTCTGTCTGCCTGCTTCCCCCACAGACGGGCACTGCTGTCCGTCCAGGGGTTCCAGAACCCTGGGCCTGTGGGTCGGCATGATGAGGCCGCCTGGGGGGACAGGGCCTGGCAGCCCCGCGGAGGGCGCAGCTGAGATGCTCGGGGCCAGTCGGGCTGCCTGGGACTCTTTCCTTGGCCTCCGGGCCAGGGGTCAAGTCCCCTGACCTCTGAGAAGAGACAGGGCAGGCCAATCTGGGGTGGCCCCAGTTTCCTGAGAACGTGCACCCTCCTCCCCTGAGCTGGGGCAGGCCGGATGCCCCAGAGCCCTCCACAGCGGAGCGGGGGCTGGGCCCGATAAGGGCCGGGGCAGGGCTGCCACCTACCTGAGTGGCCACTGCCCAAAGCCCTGCTTCCACCCACAGAGGCCCGGCTGGCAGTCATGCCTCCTCCCTGGCTTCTCCACCACGGGACACACAGTGAGCCCTCGGCCCACGGAGACCAGGGTCATGGCCAAGAGCCTCTGCACCTACGGTCCCAGGGGTCCCATCGGGGGCAAGCCCACGTCCTGCCTGCCCCACCCAGGATCCGAGGGCGCAGGCCGGGCTGGGAAGGGTGTCTACAGAAGGGAGTCTGGGCCCAGAGGACATGCAGGAGAGGGGAGGCCCCTCCCTTGTGGGGCCAGGTGGGGTGACATGAGGGGGGCACCAAGGGGCCCCAGAAACTCGGGGGTTATGTCTGTCCACAGGTGAGCAGGCCCACGAAGTGTGGTGCATTGTCCTCAAACACCCGCTGGGACACGGGGACCTGGGAGACGTGCTCAGGGAGAGAAGCCAGACGAGGAGGGACAGATGCCGTGGGGGCTGCCCCGTGTGAGGGACCACACTGCCCCCGACCACAGAGCCGTGGCGCAGGGAGGGGAGGGCCCGCGAAGGGGCGCAGGGCCCACTTCTGGGGTGATCACCGTGTTCTGGAACAGAGGAGGTGGTTGTGCAACCCCGTGACTATCCGCACAAAACCCTGAATCGTGCATTCTGAGCACTGACCTTTGTGGTGTGGGAGTTGTAGCTCAGCAAAGCCGTCGAACTCCGTAAGCAGGTGGCTGATATTTTAATGTAAAATACGCTAGAGAGTCAGGATCACTGAGGAAACCCACGCAGGAGCGGGAACAGCCAGCGCGGCCTGAGGCCTGGGGAGCCCGGACCGCTCGCCCGTCAGCCAGGGCACCCCTCACATCCAGCCCCAGATGCGCACCCTGGTCTGGCCATGCCAGGCGCCACGGAGCCCGGGAGCCCGGCCAGCCCGGGGGGTGGGGGGGAGGCCTCCTGTGTGTCCCCCGCCCCTGGGGCGTCCAGGCCCCTAATAAGGGAGGAGCCACACTGCCCGGGTCCTCACCTGAGGCTGGACGTCCTGGAGCCGCTCTCACAGATGACCACGAACCGGGGCCGCAAAGCAGCAGAAATGGACCCACGACTCTGGGGCCTGGCACTGAGCCGTTGGCAGCCCTGGGCGCTGATGGGCTAGGGGAGCCCCGCCTGCCTCCTCCAGCTCCCAGGGGCGCCAGCGGTCTGTGCCTGCGGCCCTGCCACGCCATCCCCTGGGTCTCTCCTGTTCTCGTAAGGAGCCAGCCAGTGGACTGAGGGCCCAGCCCGATCCGGAAGGGCCCCATGCTGGCTGCAGGGCCCTGGGCTCACTGTAGGGCCCGGGCTCACTGTAGGGCCTGGTGCTAACTATAGGGCCCCACACTAACTTGAGCACATTGACAAAGACCCTATTTCCAAAGGAGATCCTATTGACAGGACTGGGACACAGACATAGCTTCTGGGGGCACCGTCCATCCCACGACACAGGGGCAGGGCCAAGGGCACAGGGCGGGTGTGGGTGTCCGTAGAGTCCCGCCTATAATAAGAAGACATGTTAGCGTTTGAGCTTGCCCGGATCCTGCCCACAACTCATGCGGGCACCAGAGTGGGCACTGCCCCGGGGACACCCTGCCTGCTGGGCCTTCAGCCCCAGGGGACCCGGCATCCCTGCACCCCCAGGCTCCCTACACAGGGGACGTGGCCACAGGCTGGGGGTGGGGGAGGGGTCAGGTGCTCCTTACTGTCCTCCCAGCCCACCCCCATCTGTGGGGGGGTTGCTGCTGCAAAGGGGAGGGGACTGTCCCTCACCCCCTGAACTTGCTGGGGGACGGGCCCCAGACACAGAAGTCTCCACAAGCCTGCCCACCCCAGCTGTGCTCGGCGGGATGAGGACGAGAAGGGTCCCGGCTCTCCCCCAAGAGGCCTCAGAGGGCAGGGGCCTCCGCGGAGGGTGCCAGTGCCCAGAGCCAGCCAGGCGCCCCCAGCACCCCCAGCATCCCCGGGGGGTTACGCCGTGACCTGGGAGGAGGCCGAGGCTCGACGTGTCCTCACTGCTCGCTGGAACAGAAGGGCTGACCAGCCTCACGCTCCTGGGGCTCGGGGCAGGGCTGGGGGGCCGCGGGGGGGCCCGGGGCCGGCCCCCCACCCCACACTTGCTCCACGTGGGAGGGGCAGGGCTGTAGGGCCTGCGTATGTGGGGAGAGGACAGTGTCCCCAGAGCTGCCCCCAGGCCAGCTCAGCCCAGCGTGGGGGCCACAGAGCTGGGGCCGGAGCTGCGGGCGAGGAGGTGCGGCCTGACTCCGGACAGAAATGAAAGCAGAGGGGCTGCCCGCCCCCCCCCCTTCCCGGGAGCTCGCGGCAGGCTCCCCACCCCTCATGTGCGGCCCCCGCAGAGGTGGACGCAGACTGGGCCTTCCAGGGGCTGCCCGCAGTGTCCCCGTCCCTCGCGGGGTCAGGCGGGCCGGCTCAGCGCTCGGCCAGTCCCGCTGCTTATTTATGTTTCCTGTTTGATTTATGCTTCTTTAAAAGCGTTGTTTCCTGTTCTGCATATTTCTTTTTCTTTCTTTCTTTCTTTCTTTTTTTTTTTTTTTTTTTAAAGATTTTATTTATTTATTTGACAGAGAGTAAGAGAAGGAGCACCAGCAGGGGGAGCGGGAGAGAGAGAAGTAGACTGAGCAGGGGGCCAGATGTGGCACTCGATCCCGGGGCCCCGGGGGTCACGACCTGAGCCAAAGGCAGATGCTCAACTACGGAGCCACCCGGGGGCCCCTATTCCTTTTTTTTTTTTTGAAGATTTTATTTATGTATTCATAGAGACACAGAGAGAGAGAGAGAGGCAGAGACACAGGCAGAGGGAGAAGCAGGCTCCATGGGGGGAGCCCGACGTGGGACTCGACCTCGATCACGACCTGGGCTGAAGGCAGGTGCTAAACCCTTGAGCCACCAGGACTGCCCCCCCCTTTTTTTAAATCCAGGAAATGCACATAATGTCAAACAAATCATTTTAACGTGAACCATTCAAGGGCATTCAGCACGTTCACAGTGTGCGACCACCACCTCTATTCAGTTCTAGAACATTCTCCCCTCTCCAGAAGAAAAGCCTGTACCCGTTCAGCACTGACTCCTCACTCCCTTTCCCTCCAGCCCTCGGCAGCCACGACCTGCCCTCTGTCTCTGTGGGTCCGTGGATTTGCCAATTCGAGGTATTTTATACGAACCGCACCACGCGCCGCGGGCTCCTCCGTGACTGGCTTCTTCCCGTCCGCGTGAGGGTCGGGGTCCATCGGCCCGGGGTGTGTGTGGCTCCTCCTGCCTGTGCGGAGCGGCCTCCCCCGTAGGGCCACGGGCGGTGCGTGGAAGTGCTGCCTGCTGGGGGCCTCGCGGGCGTGTGCAGACGTGCACCCCGCGCTGGGCTGAGCACACGGGCAGGGCGGGGAGCTCCCGGGCGGCCTCGGAGCCCCTCCACAGAGACACACGCTGAAACAGCATCTCTACCAGAGAAACGCCGGGATCGGTTCAGGGTCCGGCAGCAGGCGGCCAGTGGAGGAACTTTCTGGAGCATGGCCGGCCTCGTGTGAAGCCGTTACACGAGGCAGCGCATAGAACGTGTGAATTTCCCGGGGACGCGCGAGCGACTCTCACGCAGAGAAAGCAGATCTCAGAGCCGCGTCCACGCCGTGCAAAATGCGGAGCAGGGACGCCGCACGGAGGGCAGCCGGTGGTGGCCGGGGGCTGGGAAGAGGTTGCCCCGGGGGTCTGCGCAGCTTGTTACGAACCAGAGGACCTGAGGGGGGTCAGGCAGGAGCCCTCGGGTGCATCTGCGTTGGTCTCCTCGTGCTCAAGCCGGTGACAGTCCTTCAGGGCACCCCCAGGGAGAGGCCAGCGCTGCCTGGGGTCCCATGGCCCTGCTCCCCAGGACCTTGGGACTGACGGACCCCCCCGCCCCCCCCCTTGGCCCGCCCCACCGCGGCTCCCTGGCCCCCCACGGTGACCCAGGGACAAAGGACAGCTGCCTGGCCTGGCTGCTCACCGGAGGAGGTCCCCGGTCCAGTGGCTTCTCGGACTTGCGGGTGAGCCTGCACGCCCCCGTGACCCTGGCGGCCCCTGCCAGCCCGTCCTGGACGCCCTCCCTCACACCGTACGGCCGGGGGCAGGGTGGACCTAACACGGCGGACACCGCACCTGCCCCCGAGCTGCCCACTCGCCCCCCCCCGCCCTGGGCTCGGGGAGGCCGGGCGCTGCCCAGGGTCAGCCTGCCCCGCGTGGAGGCGCCAAGTGCCAGTGAGCCCCTGGGGGAGGCGGCGCCAGGCGGGAGTGGCCGGGAGGGGCAGGCGCGGGGGGACAGGTGCAGCCCGGCTGTCAATAGCCCCAGTGCTCGCAGGTATAAAAGCTGGGGCCCCTGGGGCAGACTCTCAGCACCCCAGCCTGACCTGCCTCCCCAGAACCCTCGAGGGAAACCAGGAGGAGGTGAGCCCTGCCCGGGAGGGGCGGTGTGGGCTCCAGGCCCAGCCGGGCTGCCCAGCCGCGTTATCATCCGCAGGACAAGCGGAGGCCCGGGGGGCCGAGGAGGCCGCAGGGAGGCCCAGGGCACGCAGGGCAAGGAGGCGGAAGGGGAGGGGCGGCCCCGGGGGACCCCCAGTTTGGGGGCAGCTGGGGGCCACAGGGGTGGGCCCGGGGTGCACTTTCCTTCCGTGGCCTCCGACAGCACCAGGAGCTGGGGAGCCATGTGGGGAGATTGAGACCTCAAGACCCCGGGTGCAGAATGGGGGACAGGGAGCCCCCAGAGCCAACAGACCCACTGACTCTGGTGGCACCCTCAGGGCTTCACGTGAGTCCCTGCCTCTGTCAGCCCCCAGCCCCGCACTCCCTGGGACCCAGGACCCCCCTGCCGGGTCCCCCGCCTCAGTTGCCCCCGCCCCCAGCCAGTGCAGCGTTCTTCTCCCGTCAGCACCTGAGCTTGGTGGGTGACTCGCTGGCAGATGCCAGCAGAACGCGGCCCCAGGACGGCGGGTGTCCGGGTGAGGAGGGAGGGAGGGAGGGGTCGTGCTCGGGAGGCGCCAAGTGGGAGCAGCCCAGGAGGCTGGGGCGGCCGCGGGGCACCAGACGCTGGCTCTGTGTGGTGCCCGCAGTTCCCAGCCCCCAGCCCTGGCGGGACACGTCAGCCTCCCTCTGGGGTGAGTGTGGCTCCAGCCCGGGCCCTGGATCAGGGCTATAAATAAACCAACGGGGCGGCCGAGGCCCCGGGCTCGCCCCTGCTCCAGCTCCGAGCTCCGGCTCCCCTGCCTTCCTGCGGGGGCACCCCTGACAGCAGCGGCGTGGGACTGGGTGGCGAAGAGGCACAGCCAGGGCGCCCAGGGGGGCGGGCAGGGCACCTCCTTGCAGCATGGAGCTCTGAGACCCTGGCCCGGGAGAGTGGAAGCCGGGTCTCGCCTCTGAGCGGGCCTCCGACGGCAGCTGCCCCCCGCCTCCCGGGCCAGCCCCCAGGAGCCTCCTTCCGGGCACGACGGCCGGGGACCCGCTCCAGGCCCATCTCAGGCCCGGAGCCCTTCCCCCAGCATCTACCTTCCTTCCTGGCTCCTCACTTGACCCTGAGAAGGGGCAGGATGGGCAGGGGTCTCCCTACCCCACAGATGAGGAAACTGAGGCCCAGGGCAGCCGTGGGGCGCTCCCGGGCCAGGGAGTCCGGGGGCATAGGCAGCACGCCCTGCCCCCCCCCAGGCTCCTGCCAGGGTTGAGCCGCAACCTTTGACCCGTGGCTCCTCTATCGGGAGGAGAGTAGAGACCCCTCCGGCCACTGCCCAGGCCCACGCAGGATGCACGGGCCCCTGGGCTGCCCCCCTGGCCCTGGGAGTATGTTCCAGAAAGTTCTGCAACCTCGTGAACTTTTGAGAAGGCCAAGAAGCCTCTGAAATAGCTGTTTTGCCACAAGCCCCAGAACCCAACCCCCCCTGGGGACAGCAACCCGAGAGCCTGGCAGGTCACAAGGCACTGCCTTGAGGGCCACAGGACAGCCCGGTCCCCACCTGCTGGCCCCTCAGCCTGTGACCAGACCCCCACCCACCCGGCTGGAAGCCTGGCCTGCCTCAGTGGCTCCTGCTTGACAGCGACTCTCCGTGAACGGGGGGCAGCGGGCCTCCCCGCTTGGGGCGCCCGGGCGCCCGTCTCCCGGAGCCAACCCGAGGCTGGCCTCTGTCAGCACGCCCCGCTGCGGGGCCTGGGAGGGCGAGGCCAGGGCTGTGGGCCGCAGTCACGGAGGAAGGAGGTGGGGCCTCGGGTACCGGGTACTGGGGCGGCTTCCCGGAGGAGGTGGCTTTGAGACGGGCTTGGAAGGACAGACGGAAGTTCCCTGGTGGCACGGCGCTGTGGGGGCCGAGGGCAGCCACCACCTGTTCGGAGCCAAGGGAAGGGCCTTGTGCTCTTCACTGACCGTCTGGGGGCCTCGGCCTCTTCTGTGAGAGCAAGCGACACTCAGGGTGACCCGCCAGCAAGAGGGGGGCCCCGGGCACAGGAGTGTCCTCTGTGGTCAAGGGCAGCCGCACGCCTGGTCTGGGCCCCTGTGGACCCTGCTCAGGAGGCAGGAGCTGGCGCCTGCGGGGACTGTGTCTGCTCCGGTCCGAGCAGAGCGCCCCGTCCCCTGCCGTGTGCGCCCCCGAGCTGCCTCCCGTCCCCCGCAGGGCCACGATGGACGAGGAATTCTCCTCTCAGATGAAGAAGATGGCCTTGGCTATGGGCACGTCCCTGTCGGACAAGGACGTAGAGCTGCTGCCCACGGACATGAGGCATCACGGTAGAGCGCGCCCCGTGTCCCCGGCACTGTCCCCCCGCCCCAGGCCCGGCCGGGCCGCGGACACAGGAGCCCATCGGCGGGCTCCCCGTTCCCAGGACTGAGCCGCTGGCCCCACGGGGTGGGGGGAGGGGGCCGTCCCCACCGCAGGGCGGAAGCGTCCCCCTGGGCCCCGGTGACCTGCGCCCGGCCGTCCCAGGCTCCTTCAACTACCTCAAGTTCCTGGAGTACATGCAGAAGTTCCAGGCCGCGGGCCAGCTGGACAGCGCCATCCGCCAGGCCTTCCAGACCCTGGACAAGGACAAGAGCGGCTTCATCGAGTGGAACGAGATCAAGTAATGGCCCGTGGCCGGGGGTGGGGTACTGAGCCCCCCAGCACCCCGGGGGGCTGGGCCCGGCCAGAAAGTCTAGGCGCCCCACGCTGGGGCCGGGCCCAGACACCTCCTCCAGCAGGGCTCGTTCCCCACCTGTAGGATGGGGAGGGGGCCCCGTGCAAACCACTGGGTGCCGGCCGGACCCCCAGCTCTGACCCGAGCCCGCCCCCCGCCCCCCACCCCAGGTACATCCTGTCCACCATTCCCAGCAGCGGGCCTACCGCCCCACTGACGGACGAGGAGGCCGAGGCCATGATCCAGGTGGCCGACACGGACGGCGACGGGAGGATTGACTTCGAAGGTGGGTGGGTGCGGACTGGGGGGGGACCCCAGGAGCCTCCAGTTGGCCCCCAGACACCACCCCCGGGCACGGGGCGCTCGGCCATGTGGGTGGGTGCAGCCCCGCACAGCGGGAAACCAAGCGTCAGAGATGCTGAGTGTGCGGGGGCGGGGGGCCCACAGTCTCTAAGTGGGCGAGAGTCAGCTGGGCGGGGGCGGGGTGGTCTGAGGGGCAGGCGGAGGTTTGAAGGTGGGAACCAGAGCCCAAGGCCCCCGTGGCTACCCCGAGGTCTGGTCCCCTCACAGCACCCCCCGGGCTGGCTTGGGGACCAGAAGGCAGAGGGCAGCACGTGGCCCCTGAGAACAGCCGAGCGAGGCTCGGGGCCCGGGACGGACAGGCCTCCACACCGCCCTGCCCGCTGGGAGCCTGAGCTCAGCTCTCTGGGCCCGCAAAGCCTGCCTTGCCAGGTAGCCCCAGAATCGCAGAGGGCAGCCTGGCCGAGGGGATGGCTCAGGACTCAGCACCCCAGCCTCTCAACTGGGCCTCAGTCTCCCCACTGAGAAAGGCAGGATGACCCAGTCCATCATTAGTCCACCACGCAGGCCCTGGGTGGGGGCACAGGGCCCACAGCAACCACGGGGGGTGCAGACGGCACAGCTCTGGTCAGCCCTGCTCCCCAGGGCCCAGCAGGGCAGGCCGCGGGATCCCCTACAGGTGAGACCCCCCCCCTCGTAAAATGGGGCGTGCCTCCCCATTGGGTCTGCAGGCCTTGAGGGGCACAAGGCCCGGGGATTATTTACTAGAAATCTGTCTCCTATCCTAGAATTTTCTGAACTGATCAAAAAGGAAAAAGTTCCAAAGAAGAAGTAGTACCACGCTCGGCCCTGGGCATCGTGGGACATTCGCATGCCTGACCGAGGGGGCCATGGGGGTGGACACAGCGCATGCCAGGAAAATGGAAGAACAGTGTCATTAAATGAACGATGCAGCCCGAGTGTTTCTTGGGGGGAGTGTGTGAGCTGGGGGGGTGGGCCAGTGTGGGAGTGAGGGGGGGCACGCAGGCTGGCTGGGTGGGTGCAGCGGCCCCGGCCCCACAGCCTCCCCGTCCCCACACCACGGGGCTCTCGCCGCTCCTGGCAGTGCTCTCTGCACCGACACCCCTTCTCCAGCCCCAGCTGGCCTCCGCTAGGCTGCCCTGGGTTCACACAGCTGCACAGGGACACAGCGCAGGGACACCTGCGACCCCAGGGTGCAGCCGAGGGGGACCTGGCATGTGCCCCAAGCCGCACACCAGCGGTCAGTCCTCTGCCTGCCTGCTTCCCTCTGCCCCCAGCTGGGCCTCTGGGCTCCGCTGCTTGCCCCTGGGGGGTTCCATCCTGTGGTTTAGGCCCCATCTGTGGGCCGGGGCTCCCTGCCCCCTGCGCCCTGCTCCCCACTCCTGAGCCCTTGAGGCTTCCTGACGCCCTGGGCCATGTGAAGATGTCATCTCAGACTTAGAGCCTGAGGCCGAGCTCCACAGAGTCCCAAGTCCCACCAGTCGGCTGTGCATCATTCCTGGGCCTGGGCTGATCAGGCCGGGAGCTCTGCGGCCCACACGCAGGGAGCACTGGCTGCACTCCCCCTCCATCCTGGACCCGGGAGAGCACTGGGCCCCCCACCGGGCCCCCAGGTCCACCAGTGGGGGTGAGCATCGGGGCGGGTTTACAGGAGGGCTTCGTCCTCCCGCTGCTGCATGGGACTCTACACCCTCTAGGAAGCTGTGAGGTGGCCTGACCAGCCCCAAAGTGAAGGTGGCAGAGGACCCGACCTTCCCCCTCCTCTCCTCACCTTCCAGAGAATCCCACTGGCTCCACCCTCAGGAAGCCACGTCCCCCTGTCCCTGCCACCATCCTGATCACCACCCCTCTTGCCTGGGTGGCTACCATAGTCCCCAGATTAGCTGCCCAGCCTCTACCTTCTGACAGGTGGTTCTCAACCCAGCAGCAGGGAGGTCCTTTAAAAATAGAAGTCAGATCTGGGGCACCCGGCTGGCTCAGTCGGTAGAGCACACAACTCTTGATCTCAGTGTCATGAGTTCAAGCCCCATGGTGGGTATAGAGCTTGCTTAGAAAAAAACAAGTCAGATCTATCGCTCCACTCAGAACCCTCTAGAGGCCCCCTTGTCAAGCCGAGTCCTTGGAATGCCCCTCATGTCCTGGTTCTCCTCCAGGCCCTGATTCCAGCCATGCTGCTCCCTTTGCATGGCTGTTCCTGCCTGGCATGCTCTTCTCTAGATTCACATCTGCATGACTAACTCCCTTGTCTCCTTCTAAATTCCCTCAAATGTGACCTCCCAAAGAAGTCAATCCTAACCCACAGTTTGCACATCACACTCGGCTCGCTACATGCTCTGCATCTCCTTGCCCTGGTATCTTTCCCCATAGTACTCACCTCCCACTAATATACCATAATATTCATGTATTTGTTATGTTTATTATGAGTAAGAAAAGTGTCAAGGACATGGGGATCTGAGACCCCAGGGAAGAAAGGCTTTGAGAGGTAAGCCTGATGTTGGCACAGGTTGCTCATCAGTCGTTGGTAACGGTGGCCAAGAGACTGAGAAGCTAAGGAGGGCATCCAGCAGCCTCCTGGGTGTTTGGTAACTGCCAGGGAGGAGGAGGAGGGGCTTGGCTTGGGGCTCTAAGGGGCTAGAAGAGGTGAGTGTGGACAGGAGAACCAAGCCAGTCCTCACAGAGACTGGAGTCTGGCTACAGCTAGGCCAATCCTTCTGCCTCACTACCCCTCAGAGCAAAAGAAATCCCTGTGGACCAGGGGCCAAAAATGGCCCAGTGCAGGCCAGACCTGGCCACACTCATTTATTTGCATATTATCTGTGGTTGTTTTCAAGTTATACTTAACTGGAGGACCACACAAAGCCTGAAAGTAAAAAGAATCACAGAGATATACCATATAAACACTACCGTGAGCAAGTGGGTACAGGCACCACTATCAGATGTAAGAGACCACAGGCAAGAGGCACTGCTAGACAAAGAGGACCATTTCATAAAGATGAAGGGTCAGTTCACTGGGAAGACACACAGCTCTAAACATGTACGCACCCACTAACACAGCCTCAGAATTCATAAAGCAAAAATGAGCCAACTGGAATGAGAAAGAGAAGATGCACAATCATGGTGGCACATTTTAGCATTTCTCTTGGGAACCAACAGAGCAAGGAGGGAAAATAAATCATTAAGGATACAGGAGAGGGCAGCCCCGGTGGCGCAGCGGTTTAGCACCGGCTGCAGCCCAGGGTGTGATCCTGGGGACTCGGGATTGAGTCCCACGTCGGGCTCCCTGCATGGAGCCTGCTTCTCCTTCTGCCTATGTCTCTGCCTCTCTCTCTCTCTGTGTGTGTTGCTCATGAATAAATAAATAAAATCTTTTTTTTTTAATAAATAAAATCTTAAAAAAAAAGGATACAGGAGACTAGAAGTACCATGAATGAACTCAACCCAAATGATACAGATCAACTCTGCATCCAACAACTGCATTCTCCTTAAATAAACAAATATTTACCAAAATTGCCCAAATGGTGCCCGTGCCCATAAAGCAAGTCTCAGTTGAATCAGAGCATTGAAGAAACATATAGAACGCGCTTTCTGACCGTAGGTAAATCAAGTTAGAAACCGTAAACTAAAAAGAAAAGCAATGCAGCACAAAACAACTCCCAGTTCACAGAAACCACTGTGGAAATTAGAAAATATCTTGAACCTAAGAATAACCAAACTACAATAAACCAAAACCTCATGTTGCTTGGAAGGAAACTCAGTGTTTGCTGTGTGGACTGGGAAGGGAAAGCCCAACCATCAGTGGTCTAAGAACTCTCCCCAAGAAGTCAGAGAAAGGAAAGAAAATCCCATTTAAAGGCGAGGGAAGAAGGGATCCCTGGGTGGTGCAGCGGTTTAGCGCCTGCCTTTGGCCCAGGGCGCGATCCTGGAGACCCGGGATCGAGTCCCACGTCGGGCTCCCGGTGCATGGAGCCTGCTTCTCCCTCTGCCTGTGTCTCTGCCTCTCTCTCTCTCTCTCTCTGTGACTATCATAAATAAGTTTAAAAAAATTAAAAAAAAAAAGATTAAAAAAAATAAAATAAAGGCGAGGGAAGGGAGTGGAGGATTTCTGAAGGGTCAAGGCCAGTCAGTGCCCCCGCCCCCTGGCCTGCCCCCTGCAGGAGCGCACACCCCACAAGGGCAGGCTGGGGGTCTGTTTGGCTCCGAGTTCCGCGCAGCACAGATCCAACCGCAAGTTCAACGACGCATCTGTGCTGTCACTTGTATCCAGAGAGGGGGGTGGGTCGGAGGCAGGTTGTCAGAGGGCCACGGGTACAGGGGGCCTGGGAAGGGGGTCCAGGTGAGGTGGCGCCAGAGATCCCTCCAGCTGCCCCTATAACCCATGGTCATCCAGGGAAGGGACCCCGCCAGAAACCCAGGGTGTCTCCCTCTTCTGTCCACAGGGGGCTTTGGGGTGCTCCTGCTGGTGGTGGCCAGTGCCACCTGGGCCGGGAGGTCAGGCCTGCCTCTGGTTGGAGCATCACCTCCGCCCATCTCTACGGGTTACCTGGCTTTCCTGCTTGCCCCGCTCTCTGGACACCACCGCCTTCCCATCTGCTGAGTACCTTACTTGCAAAACTACGTAGTTGAGTAATTTACAGCCACTTCCCCATGGCAACTCCTAATAACAGCTTCAGACAAAAATACCATTTTTTTTTGGTGGGTGGAGGGAGGTCAGAGCCTCGACAGGAAGACCTGTCTTCCCCTGTGCGGTCCCCGCCGTGCTCCTGGGAGCCTGACCAGTGACCAGCCAGCTCCTTCTGGCTGCAGCTGCAGCCCAGGGAGGGGTCTGAGCTGTGCCCGCCGCCCTCCCCTCAAGGAGCCCCACCCCGCGCCCTTCCTGGCTCCAGCAGAAGGCGTCGGAGGCCAGCCTGGATCCTGGAACAGCCGGTGGAGAGGGTGAGCCGCAGGGCAACCCTGGCCCCGAGGGATGGAGCGGTGAGCGGGGGCCGATGCTCCGCAGAGACCAGAAGAGCCCCCCTCACCTCACGCCCCGGAACTGGACGCCCCAGCCACACCCGACTGCACGGCCACGAGCTCTCCTCCCCATCCAGGCACCTCACAGGACGCGACAGCCCCGTGAGGAGGGGCTCGGGCTCAGGGTTGCTGTCCAGGGGCCAGCCCAGGTTCCCGCCCCAGGAGGGGTCAGGCCAGAGGGAGCCGGCGTGTGTCCCCGCGGCGCCCCGCCCCAGCACCAAAGAGAGAAAAGACTCGTGCAGGTGAGGAAACCGCAGCTGGACACACCCCAAGGCAGCGGGGAGGGCGGCAACAGCAAGGGGGGCCCGTGGTGAGCGAGGGCCGGCAGAGGGTGGGGAGGCGCGTCCGCAAGGAGCACCTCGGCCCTCCCCTCTCATGCCTCCCGACTCTCAGGTGGGCCTCCGCCCTCCTCACGGGCAGTTCTTGGCCAGTGCCCACTCCTCAGGGGCTCCCGGCTGTTGCACCTCCAGGGGGTGTCCTCAAGTGAGGGAAGGAAAACAAGGGTCTCCTGGGAGGGCCACACTGTCTCCAGCCATCAGAAGAGAACAGCAGCTGCTAGGGCTCCTGGAGAGGAAGGGGAGGATCCTCCGAGCCCCTTCTGGGGGCAGAGCAGGCCAGCCACGGGACCTGAGAGCCACGGAGCCCAGGAGCCACGGGGGCCGAGAGCCACAGGGCCCATCGAGGCTCAGGCTGGAACGAGAGCCATTCTCTCTGCTGGGGGCCTGGGACCCAGCCCCAGGGGCTGCAGCAGGCACGGGCACCGGGAGGGGCTGGGGACACCCCACGCCTGGCCTCCAGCCCCTGCCACCCCAGCCCGCAGCCCAGGAGAAAGAGACGAGGCAGGGGCTGCACAAAGTATGAAAAACACCACTTTACTGTTAAAATGCAGGCTGGTG